GTTTGGTGACTGGGCCTATGGGATGAACGGCGTAAGCCTCATGGGGACACCCGCACTAGGCATGAAAAATATTCTAAGTCGGGCTGGCTTAAAACAAACCACGAAATACCACAACACCACAGGGATGATAAACACTCAGAATGGCTAGAACTTGAAGCACAAAGCAATGAAGAAGACTGTACCCCCGTGGCTTGCTTGAGTACTGGGTTAGTCACCTGGGTTAGTTGCTGGCTGGCTTGGCTTAACCCTTTACACAGAATGGCTTGATAACTTCTAACGATGAGCACAGCAGGGGTGGAAAGCTGGCTTGGCAGGCAAGGCTGGATGTTGTAAGGCTAGGCTGGACTGGACTGGTCTGGACTCCCCCACCACAGACTGTCGTGCTGGTTTGGCTTACTTTGCAAACTGGGTCAACCCCTCAGGAGTGATGCAAATAAGCAGATAAACACTAATGCACAGAGACTGACCAGTGAATAATGTAGAGGCTGGTAGATGCTTGAGGTAGCAGGCCTAGTGTCACAAGATGGCGACCGGCTCAGTAGAAATTTATCTCCAGAAATCGCTGTAATCATCAGAATTACAGGCCCTCTGCTGCCACCAATTTGGCGTGGGGGTTCAGAAGGAGAATGATGGTTGAAGATAAACACACTTGTGGATGGTAACGCTATATATTGTCAGACTGTGGTAAGGGAAGGGCCCAGCCTGCCTTCTTGCCTGCTGTATGTCTAAGCGTGGAGTGAGAGCGAGGTAGAGAGACCCACTCACTCATGCTGCATCCCGTGACATCATACAGTCACTAGGTTTTAGTAGGGATCTTCTATATAAACACATGGATGGTACTACGATACTTAGCTAAGCTATACAACACATGTAAGGGGATCAGCAACTATGCTGACATCTTCACCCAGGGCAGTGGCCCCTGGGATGGACTTCAGGACATATCTTCACCCCTGGCAGTGACCCCTAGGGTGGTCTTCTGTACATATTTTCACCCCAGGGCAGTGACCCCTGGGGCAGTCTTCAGGACATACCTTCATCCAGGGACAGTTGACCCATTGGTGGTCTTCAGGACATATCTTCTCCATGGGCAGTGACCCCTGGGGTGGTCTTCAGGACAATATCTTCACCCAGAACAGTTACCCCTGGGGTGGTCTTCAGGACATATCTTCATCCAAGGCAGTGACCCCTGGGGTGGTCTTCAGGACATATCTTCACCAGGGCAAAGACCCCTGGGGTGGTCTTCAGGACATATCTTCACCCAAGACAGTGACCCTGGGGTGGTCTTCAGGACATATCTTCACCCTAGGACAGTGACCCCTGGGTGGTCTTCAAGACATATCTTCACCCCAGGACAGTGACCCCTGGGATGGTCTTCAGGACATATCTTCACCCCAGGACAGTGACCCCTGGGGTGTCCTTCAGGACATATCTTCACCCCAGGGTTGTGACCCTTGGGGTGGTCTTCAAGACATATCTTCACCCGAGGGCAGTGACCCCTGGGGTGGTCTTCAGAACATATCTTCACCCCAGGGTAGTGACCCCTGGGGTGGTCTTCAGACATATCTTCCCCCCAGGGAGTGGACCCCCTGGGGTGGTCTTCAGGACATATCTTCACCCAGGCATTGACCCCTGGGGTGGTCTTCAGGACATGTCTTGAACGATACCTCACTAAGGTATTGGAATGCTGTCTCAGGTTTGCCAGGTGCCCATATGCTGCAGCAGTTATCTGGTTGATTTGTGCTTCCGGGATATGCTCGGTGTTATACTCACCAATATCTTCTCCATGAGCGAGGTTTGCAGTTTTTGGCCTCCTAGCCTATACTCCGTCTGCAGTCTTCTGTCCCCTTTTCCAAATCTTCATGACTTTGCATTTGGCGGGGTTAAATTCGAGAAGCCTTTTGTTGGACCAGGTGTCCAGTCTGTCCAAGTCTCTTTGAAGTCCTCCCTGATCCTCATCGATTTAATTCTCCTCTTAACTTCCCCATCATCTGCGAACCCAGTGACACTCTGAGTCTAACCCTTCCTTTCATGTCATTCACATATACCAAAAATGCACTGGCCCTGGACCGACCCCTGTGGGACCCTGCTCATCACAGGTGCCCACTGTGATACCTCATCACATACCATGACTCGTTGTTGCCTCCCTGTCAGGTATTCTCTGATCCATTGCAGTGCCCTTCCTGTTATATGTGCCTGATCCTCTAGCTCCTGCACTAATCTCTTTTGAGGAACTGTGGCAAAGGCCTTCTTGCAGTCCAAGAAGATGCAATCAACCCACCCCTTTCTCTCTCTCTCTCTCTCTCGTGTCTTACTTCTGTTACTTTATCATAAAACTCCAGAAGGTTTGTGACACAGGATTTGCCTTCCATGAATCCTTGCTGGTTGGCGTTTATACTCTTGTTCCATTCTAGGTGCTCCACCACTCTCCTCCTGATAATCTTCTCCATAACTTTGCATACTATACACGTCAGTGACACAGGTCTATAGTTTAGTGCCTTTTTTCTGTCTCCTTTTCAAAAATGGGAACTACATTTGCGGTCTTCCATACCTCAGGTAGTTGCCCAGTTTCCAGGGATGTGTTGAAGATTGTGGTAAGTGGCACACCCAGCATATCCGCTCCCTCTCTAAGGACCCATGAGGAGATGTCTGGTCCCATTGCCTTTGAGGTATCGATGTCCCTTAGCAGCTTCTTCACCTCCTCCTCATTTGTATGTATGTCTTCCAACACTTGTTGGTATATTCCTTGCTGGTGTCCCCCTCTGTTGTGTCCCCCCAGAGGCCTTCCTGTCTCTACTGTAAATACTTCCTTAAATCTCATGTTGACTTCCTCACATACCTCTTGATTGTTTCTTGTGAGTTCCCCACCTTCTTTCCTCAACCTGATCACCTGGTCTTTGACTGTCGTCTTCCTCCTAATGTGGATATACAACAGTTTCGGGTCAGACTTGACTGTCAATGCTATGGCGTTTTCGTTTTCGTACTGTCGCTGGGCCTCCCTCCTTATTTGTGCATACTCGTTTCTGGCTCTTCTACTAATCTCCTTGTTTTCCTGGGTCCTTTGCCTCCTGTACCTTTTTCATTCTCTGGTGCGCTTAGTTTTTGCCTCCCTACACCTTCGGGTAAACCAAGGACTCGCTTTGGTCTTCCTATTATTTCTATTGCCCCTAGGAACAAATTTTTCTTCTGCCTCCTTGCACTTTGTTGTTACTTATTCCATCATCTCGTTTACTGATTTTCCTACCAGTTCTCTGTCCCACTGAACCTCCTGCAGGAAGTTCCTCATACCTGTGTAGTCCACCCTTTTATAGTTTGGCTTTTCCCATTCAATTCCTGTTACCGTCTCAACTTGTAACTCTACTATAAAATCAAAACTCAGAGCCACGTGATTGCTAGCTCCAAGGGGTCTCTCGTAAGTGATGTCCTCAATGTCTGAACTACTCAGGGTGAACACAAGATCCAGTCTTGCTGGCTCATCCTCCCCTCTCCCTCTGGTAGTGTCCCTGACATGTTGATGCATGAGGTTTTCAAGTACCACATTTTGGCTCTCCATGTTTCGGGACCCCCATGAGGCTCCAGGTTTTCCCAGTCATCTCCCTGTGGTTGAAATCGCCCATTACCAGTAACTTTGCTCTGCACGATTGAGCTCTTCTTGCCACCTCAGCCAGTGTATCCACCATCGCTCTGTTGTTTTTTCCTACTCCTCTCTTGGCCTCCTGCAGTTCCGTGGTGGGTTATACATCACTCCAATGACTATGTTCCCCAGACTGAATTGTACGTACTATGTAGTCTCTTTCTCCAATCACGTCCATGCCTTCCATTTCCTCAAATCCCCATCGGTTTTTTATGAGCAGTGCAACCCCTCCTCCCCCTCTATTCCTTCTATCTTTCCTCAGGATCTGATATCCCGGTGGGAAGATTGCGTCTGATATTGTCTCAGCGAGTTTCGTTTCTGTGACTGCTATGATGTCTGGGGATTTCTCGCTGATTCTTTCGTGCCACTCCTCATATTTATTCGTTATTCCGTCCGCGTTTGTGTACCAAACCTTCAGCTTGTTTACTATCACTATGGTCCTGGGAGAATATTGGGGTTGGAGGAGTGGGAGCCTTGGTGGGGGCCTATGGGGGCTGTGGTGTGGGTGGGGTTTGTGATGAGGGAGGATGGGTCAGAATGCCCATAGGGGGCAGCTGTAGGGGTGAGGCTTGTGATGTGGGGGTTGGTGGCAGAGAGAACAGTGTGTGGGTTTTGGTTTAGATTGCTCAGTTGCGTTGGATTGTTGCGGTTGGACTCCTTCTGCGGGAGTTTTCTGCGGGGTGTTTGCCCTTCCTCCTGTGTCTGGGTCCTGCTCATCTTCATCATTGCCTCTCGGTCCGTGGGGTGTGTGGTGTGTGTGTGTGTTGTGTGT